TGAGACCCTGTCTCTAAAAAATAAATAAATAATAATAATAATAATAGAGCCTATATCCAAATACAGCCACATTCGGAGTTACGGCTTCAGGATATAAATTAGGGCAGAGTTGTCCAATCTTTTGGCTTTCCTGGGTCACATCGGAAAAAGAATTGCCTTGGGCCACACATAAAATACACTAATGATAGCTGATGAGCTGAAAAAAAAATTCGAAAGAAAATCTCATCATGTTTTAAGAAAGCTTATGAATTTGTGTTGGGCTACATTCAGAGCCGTCCTGGGCTGCATGCAGCCTGTGGGCCAGGGGTTGGATAAGCTTGAATTAGGGGAAGGGCACAATTCACTCCATAACCGTTCCAGACAGAAAAAACTGCACGTGCAAAATCACTGATGCAGGAAGAGCTGTGCCTTGTAAGAACTCAGAAAAAGCCAGCAAGATGTAACCTAAAGAGAGGAGTGGCTGGATGTAGCAAGGCTGAATGGACCATTATAAGGAGTTTTCTTTTTTCCTGCACGTAAGGGAGCCATTGTGGGGTTTGAGGGTGAAGAGCAACAGGCCAGATTTTTTATCTGAAAAGATAACCCTGGCTGCATTGTGGAGAATGGGTGGAAAGAGGCAGGAATGGAGACAGGAGGGTTCATCGGGAGGCTGTTATAGTGGTCCAGGCAGGTGATGATGGGGACTCGGACCAGAGTGGGGCGGTGGAGATGGGGACAGCAGATCCAAGCTGTGTTCATGAGGATGACTTGGCAGAGCCTGAGACTTCCGAGCAGTAGAGGGAGAGAGAGGAGAGTTGGCAAGGGAGATCCTTCGTTTCAGGCAAGAGAGCTCAAGTTCATTGCTGATAAGTTCATTACAGATAAGTTCTTTATCTGTAATATAGGGAGAAAAGGGTTACACGAATTAAATGAGCTATGTGGAAAAAGCACTTAGAACAATTCCTGATTCATTGATGTCATTATCACTGTTATTGCTTTACAGGGTTGATGACTGTAGAAATGGTTTGCTTTTGTACTCAAGTATTAATTGAGTTGATCCATTTTATTTATTTATTTAT